TGTGTGTGTGTGTGTGTGTGTCTGTCTGTGTGTGTGTGTCTGAGTGAGTGAGTGAGTGAGTGAACATTTTAAGAAGTGCCAGCACTGTATGGAGATGCCTTACTCACTTATGTCTCTAAGAAGTGTCACTTAGTTGGACAACACCATCACTTCAGTTACATGCTTCAAGTACCAACTTTTTGTTGTTTAATATTGATAAGAACCTAATAACGTAGCTAGTGTGCAAAAAGTGACATGTTTCATGTTACCAATCTGTATTCATTGAGCTTTCATCACTCTATGGACTCTCATAGACAGCTGTCACACATCAGGTCATCTCATCTCTGAGATCTGCTGGCCATGTTAGATGATACGTCTTTGTATCTATCACAGATTGTTGACATCTCTCTTTTGTGATTGGGGTATAATGTTAAGAGGTTTGTGGGAGAGAAGGAAAGGGGGTTTCTAGTGAAAGAACAGGAAGAGAATTGCTGGAGCCCCAGGCTTGAGCTTCACCCCGAGTACATTGTGACCGCATTCAGGGTGTTTTAAAACTCAAAGAGAGGCCCTGGATCAAGTTTCGTGACACTGAAATAAAATCAAAAGATGGCTGCTGTTGTTTGATTTTTGTTTTGGCTCTGGGCAATGTTATGGTCACTTGGCTCAGTATTGTGTCTGTGTTTTGTGTTCCTTCTTAAGGCCAGGTGTGACAGCTTGCTCTCCTCTAATGGTTTAGTTATGCTTAAAATGTAAATAAAGTTGAAACATTTGAAACATGCTTTTGTAATCATGACCCCCCTTTGAGTGGCATAATTTCCTATGGGTTTATGATGTCAAAATGTGCCGTGCACAACATGTTTTGTTTTAGAATTGTGCAGATCACAGGTGGAGCCTACCAGTAATATCTGCCTCTTCTTCAGGGATCAGCAATGCATTTTGTGCAATGCAAAATGAAACATTTGAATCTCTGTGACAGTTGGTTTGCAAAATTATGCAAACTAAATTCCACAAAATTGTTCATTTGTTAGCTTTTTATACACATCAGCAGTTAAAGGTTATCAAACCAGCTAACATAAATTGAGCCTTGAGTGAGATTGCATTTATGATTTGATAGCATCAGCAATATTTGGTTGAAAATTATAAATGAATAGCCTAATCAGTATGTTTTGCTGTGTGTAGTATTTCTATTAAAAAGTATGATTATAATAACTATAATTTATGGCTATAATTGTAACATTTTCTTTGTAAAAAAAAAAAAAAAGTTAAAATATATGTTTTAAATGTGTAAATATGTTTTCCAAAACACTAACAAATAGCTAAATACAATTGCAAAATTTAAATCTTCCCATTAACCTTCTCTGATGAAATAATTAACAAATAAATAAAACAGTATTACAATTAAAGTAAATATTAAATGAAATATTGTTGTAACTATTATTTTTACTTTAGTCATTTTAAATGAGAAAATTTAAAGTTATAAAAGTTTATGATTGTGATATATATATGATTGTGCAAACATATTAATTCCTTACTGTCAGCCCTGATTTTGATGAGTTGTTCTTCACTCTTCTTCTTTTTTTATCATTCTGTATAATTTAATATGGAATGCCAACCTGCCATAATTAGAAATAAATAAAGAAATGTACAAAGAAATGTAAAAAAGCAAACATAAATAAATATACAAAGAAAAATAAAAAAGCAAAAATAAATAATTATTTATAATTTTATTTCCTTATTTATTTATTTTTTTTTTCTTTTATTTATGTATACATTTATGTATTTATTTACGTATTTATTTATTTACACATTTATTTATTTTCGCATTTATTTATTTCTACATTTCTTTGTCCGTAGGGTAATGAGAATGGGCGTGTTTTACCTCAGGAATAACAATCGAGCCAGAGTAGGCGAGGTGTAAGCTTTGAGGCCACAGTGACACTTTGTGGTGCCCAAACAAAGTACAAGAAGTGTAAGCCTACATGATGCGCCTGTTGATAGTGTGGGATGACTGATTTAGATGGGCAATGTGGCCAAAATCTTATTTAAATTTCAAGTGGGGGGGTTGTTTAGACTGGGAAGCGTGCAATCTGTGATCGCGTGCATTTGCTGAAGCTCCCGAAAGCGTGCTTTCTTATGCGCTCTGTTTTTTAGGTTTCACTTTCAACGCATACAACACTGACAACAACGATTGTATGCGGCTATGCAGTGGAGATGCGTTCACTGGCAAATATCATTCAGCATTCATTTTGAAATTTTGTCAACTATTTTTTCTTGATTACAAGAAAAAAATATATATTGTTCTTGTTGTGATTTATTTCTTGTTTTTCATTTAATTCATAAGTTAACACTGCAAATTAAATGTTTTCGTTTTTTTTCTGCAAAGAAAAAAATATGTCAGTGATTTCTCTCATTTTAAAGATTATCAAGAATAATTTTTTTACGATCTGCAGTCTAATAAAAGTTAAGAAAATTAGCCTATAGCTCTATAGCCTACAGACTAATTTCATTCTTTCTTAACTTTTAACTTCTTCTTAACATTTGTTATGAAGAATTTTAAATCAACTTCATAACAAATAGGCTAGGCTAATTAATTTTCGTCATAAGCAATATATGAACATAACAAATACCCTAGCTATTCTATAAAACAAAATCATAAATCACGAATATGGCGAAATAAAATTATATATATACTGTGTATGTATGTGTATATATATATATATATATATATATATACAGTCGTGATCAGAATTATTACATCACACTCAAAAAAAAAAAATATATATATATAATAGTTTTACGTCAAATGGATAAGGAAATTACAGTGCCTTGAATTCATTAAGTAATGTTTTATTTCGTTCTAACTAGGGATGTCAATTTTCGATCATTTCCATGATGGATCGTCGTTTAAATTAACGATCAATTAACTGATTAATCGTTAACCTTAATGCTGCAAAATGCGTCTATGCTGCCCGGCATGACAGGATGTGCAAAAGTTACTCAAAAAAAAA